AAAGAGTTAAAAAAAAAAAAAGGAGTAAAATAATTAATGGAGTTACTTAACACCAATTGATTAATCCTGATAGGTATTATTAACAAGATATAATCCAGAACTAAGAATGGAGCATTAAAAAAATAACTTCTAATTCCATTCATAGGACACTTGAATTTAGATTAAAAAAATAAACAAAACAAAAAACCCAAGCTTCTAAGATTTGCTAATTATCATTTGAGCGTGTCACTGACATAAGTATAAACCTAGTTCTAAGCCACAGAAAAACTGAAAAATGCACGTACTTCTACTTACCCCTCCGCACATCCCTGTTTGGCCCGCTGTCTTCCTGCTTCCTTTCTCCCATGGTTCAACATGTGTGACCTGAAAATAGAAAAGAGGAACACAACAAACATTCATACTTCAAATTTTTTACATGTATGATTAAAATAAACCCAATTCGATAAGAGAGCAGCTCTTCCCAAAGTCTGGACTTGGGTATTTTGACATGAGGTACCTAATTTTGTTTACACGTTAAGCACGTAAACCAACTTTAAAAAACTGCTTTGATAATAACAGAAAGCATCAATAAGCTATCAGGGTTTAACAAAACCACAGCTTTACAGAGCAGAAATCCCATTAGCTCTGTAGAGAGCTGGTGCACGTGGAGCCAAACATTTCCAGTCTCATATATTTGTAGAAGATATTTGACACACCAACTTTATAGCTTTTTTATGAATTGCTTAAAAAATAAAAATTCTCATTTTAAAATGGATATAAATACCTACTTAAAGCAAAAAGTATTAATGATTAAGTATTTATTTCAAAAAATGTTTAAAATACCCTTAATAGTTCAACTCTATGGTGATATTAAAATAAAGAAAAATGGCTTGAAGAAAGCATGCTAGAACAGTAACAAATTATTTCTGATGCAAAATTTTGGAATTGTATTCGTTTTTAAAACATGATCAGACATTACATTCATTCCTAAATAAAGATAAAATTACAGCCATACCTACAGAGAACATTCTTGCTGGTCAGTGTATAATTTATTTTCAACCTAATTATGTGAACCAATTCAATTGAATAAATGTGATTAGTCATTACACTAAGTACACCCAAAGAATCAGTATCATCTTTGCTAAGGTGGGCACCCTATAAAAACCACATATTTTACCTAAAAGATAGCAAAGAAAGATTAGTAGCTCTACAAAAGATAGAACTCAAGAAGGCCCTTTAGGAAGGTAAGACCTACTGTTTCTTAAAGGCAAAAGAAAACCCTGTTCTTTCACAATGTATTTCCAAAACTATTTCCACCGACGTTAATTACATGTTAGCCTCAGTGGCTTCTGACAGAAGAGCAGGCATGTAAATGTGAAGGATTACACTATTTTGCTCAGCTGGCTGCTGCCCTTTACTGTTTCATTTCCTTCCCCAGCTTGTGGCATAAAAGATGCTTCAATTCCTTCAAGGCCAGCCAAAGCGTGGAGGCAATACAAAACAGACTTACAAAATTGTGAGCCTACACATTTCCATGATCATTCGATCTACGGTCTTGATAAGGAAGTGTGGGGCTTTAGTTTTATAACTGAATTTAAATAACTACTAGTAGAATCTTGACGTGTTTCAAAACACAGTATTTGAAAACAAGCTCTTTTTCCATCACATTACACTTGTCTGACATTAAACAGAACCTGCCACAAGAAGAGCAGGAACCCAATTTTCAACAGTTTGAAGTTCACTAGTAAATAAAGCTAATGGTTGAATATTCACCACACTGTAACCATGCTGAAAAAGACCTTACCTTTAAAAAAACCTAAAAAACCTAGCTGAGAGTATTACAATACTCTTGCAAAAGGATATCAAAATTCCAGGGCACTTTTTATACCCACAGTTGAACTGTATTGTCAAGATGATTTTTCTATCGAAAGCAAATGATTAAAAAGAAGCCTTCAATAACCTAATCACTTAAGTGGAAAAAAGGTGGACAGAAGAGCGAGTTAAAATTTAAACTTTTATTAACACCTCTACAGATACGTTCAGCTCACAGAAAATACTTCCTGTGGTTTGTCAAATGTTTTAAGAGTCAAAACAGACAAAACAGATTGCATTATATTAGATGCGCTAGCGAAAATACTGACAGACTGTCAAGGCTATTACAAATACTCTTTAAAATATAACCTTAGGAGGCCCGGAAGATTTTTTTTTTTTTTTAAGCTACATCATTTGCAGGTACGTGGAGAAAGCCTATCTAAGCTGGTAAAGAAAAGACCAAAACCAATGGCCAAAATCATCTAATTAGCCGTCCATTTAACCCAGGGAAATGCATTTATGGCGATCGAGCATGATTAATAGTGCATACCTCTACCTGCGACCCTGGGCTGCTCCGAGCCTCGCTGCAAGACTGAGTCAATCCTGCTAACGAAACAAGAACTGAGACAAGAGCGCAGTGAGGCGGCGCCAGGCGAGCTCCCCAGCACAGCCACGCCAGCACCGACCCTGCCGCAGGAGCCCAGGGCCCAGGGACCGCTAACGATCATTTATTTATTTTGCCTTGTGCCTCTCAGCAGGTTTCTGCCATGGGTGACAAGGGAACAAGCAACCACACAGAAGTGACTGACTTCATTCTCATAGGCTTCAAGGTCTGCCCAGAACTCCACAACGCGAGGCCAGCACTGAAGTCAATACCCGCCCTTGGCTCGGGGTGAGCGGGAGAAGCACCAACAAGTTGGCGCCGAGCAGATCCACCATCCAAAGGAGCAGTTTTAAAGCCGCGAACCGGAGAGGCGTCCGTTACCGTTTCCTGCTCTCTCCCCGCCACCCGTCTCGTCCAGCTCCCCCCAGGGGTGGGCAGGAGGCGCGGGGAGTGGAGCGGGGCGCGAGGTCAACAGCGGCGGCCTCTCCCGGCCCGAAACATCCGAGAAGGAAAGGAGGGCGGCCCCCGTCTGACCCCTCCCTGGCCGACTCCTAGCCTTCGGGTCCCCCCCAGCCCCCATGCCCTCCTCCGACCCCCACATCTTCAGACCTCGGGGGCCGCCTCCGCCCGTTTCCTCCGTCCGTCCGTCCGCCCTTCTCGGAACTCAGCCCCGGCCCGGGCCTAGACGCTGCGTACCTTGAAGTAGATCTCGTCCACCACCTCGTGGTAGGTCTTGAGCTCGTAGAGCTGCACTTTGAAGTAAGGCGACGACAGGATGTTCGTCAAGATCATGGGGTTGAGGTTGGGGACCCTGGATGAGGGCGCATGGTGGTGCCACCAGGATAGATGGTTCCTATCTCTTTGTAGACCAAGAGGGGGTTACAAGCTCATTACCGACCTTGTGAGCAGCAGTGCACTCACCTGTGAATTTGTGCTAAAGATTATAGCTGCCTCGTGGGATTACACAAGCAATAACTGCACAGATCTGCCAGAGAGAGAGAGAGAGAGAGAGAGGTACTTTAAAGTCCACTTACTCTTTGCTCCTTGCACAGCTTTTCAAGGGTGGGGGAGCCTTGGAAGAGAAATATTTCCTTAAATATAAAACCTGAAATGTGATGATTAATATTTTTGGCCTAGCCACTAGTTATAGCAGCTCTGTTTAAGAGTTTGCCCCTTGTCTCACGTTTCCTCTGGGAATTGGGGAGCCAGCTCGGGGGCGGCGTTGCGGGTCCGGTTCGGATGTTGTAGTGTTGGGACGGGGATCCCGGCCTCCGCTCTCGGAACCGGCACCGAGAGAGCTCGCATGACTCTGTGCTTGCAAAGTCGCCCCTAAATCCTGCGGAGTATGTGGAGCCTCCCGAGGTCACAGTTTAAAGATTCCCTGGAAGGGATGGTGGCCCTCACGCCTCCATGCCATTACGATGCAAGGCCTTTTATACCCCCCTCGGGCTGTACCGTCCGAGCAGAAGTCTTGCTTGCGCCTAAATTTATGAAACTGTAAGATCGAGATAACATCTGGCCGGGCTAAGCATGGAAAGAGCTACCATACTTGGAGGGGCCAGTAGATGCGCCAGGCATTCTGTTAGATGCGTTTTCGGTCCTTTCTCCCCGAGTTCTTAACGTTCTTTGGAGGCAGAATGGGTGGTAAACGTTGGTCGAGACACCGAAACGTTGGGGGAAAGTGTGAAAATGAGTCAGAATCTGCCTTCTCGCAAAAGCTACTGTCAACCTAGAGAAGGCGCGTGTGTTTGGGAGTGAAGGTTACAAAAAGCACGAGTTTCTACAGGTGGTAATGGACTGGGCAGTCTGATAGGCAGAGAAGAGGCTGAACATGGAAACAAGTTGGGTAGATCGAGGCTTATGTATAAGAGTCCACATCCCAGTTGGCAAGAGCCAGGAAATGTGCTTAGTTAGAGGGGAGTCGAGGCTGGATAGGAATCTGGCCCCTGAAGCTTCAGCCTGGAGTTTTAAATGAAATCATTCACTGTGTTCTCTTTTGCCTGGCTGCTTTGACTCAGCATACTTTTGAAATTCATTCTTATTGATTGTATAAACTGGTTATGTGGTATTTTTTTTTTAAGACTTCTTTTTTTAAAATACATTTTATTGATTTTTTTACAGAGAGGAAGGGAGAAGGAGAGAGAGAGAGAGAAACATCGACCAGCTGCCTCCTGCACATCCACTGCTGGGGATGTGCCCGCAACCAAGGTACATGCCCTTGATCGGAATCGAACCTGGGACCCTTCAATCCTCAAGCCAATGCTCTATCCACTGAGCCACACCAGTCAGGGCTGTGGTATTTGTTTTTATTCAGCGTAGTATTACATTGCATGGTTTTACCACAAGTTGTGTATCCAATCATCTATTTATCGATGGCCATTTCCGTTTCTAATTTTGGGCTATTACAAGTGATAGCTGCTGTGAACATTTGTATATTAGTCTTTATTCCGACATGTTTTTGTTTCTCTTGGCTAAATACCTAGACTTAGGCCCTGGCCATTAGCTCAGTTAGTTAGAACTTTGTCCAGATACCCCGAGATTGTGGGTTCCATCCCCTGTCAGGGCACATACTACAATCAAGCAATGAATGCATAAATAAGTGGAACAAGTGTTTCTCCCTTTCTCTAAAATCAGTATTTAAAAAAAAAATCTTTTTAAATCACTTGACCCACCATGTATGGGTTTATTTCCGGACTCCATTTTGTACCATGGATCTTTATGTTTATCTTTTCACCAATATCAAACTATCTGGATTATTGTAGCATTATAACAAGTTTTGAAATTAGGTAGGTTAAATCTTCCACCTTCATTCTTTCTCTTAAAAATTGCGTTGAGCCCTGGCCAGTGTGGCTCATTTGGTTGGGCATTGCCCCCTGCACCAAAAGGTTGCTGTTTTGATTCCGGTTTCGGGCTCTCACATTGATGTTTCTCTCTCTTTCCCCCTGTCCCTTCCCCTCTCTTTAAAGTCAATAAAATATTTTTTTTAAATTGCTTTGATTTTCCATCAATTTTCTTAAAAACAAGCCTAGCCAACAGTCATATAGTCGGTGTTCATGATTGAATAAATGAGTAAATAATTAAAATAATTGCCATGTGTCACTAAAATAACAAATGTTCTATTTGACATCTGGGGCCACCACAGGGAGGCTCTAGTCTAGATTCTCAACCTTCCTAATGCCGCGACCCTTTCAGTTCCTCATGACCCCCAACCATAAAATTATTTTTGTTGCTACTTCATAACTAAAATTTTGCTACTTTTATGAATCGTATACTTCTGTCCTACTTGGATACAAATCGGGGGTTCCTGTGACCCCCCTCATCAGGCTAAATAATTTGCTATCACAGCTCATAGAACTCAGGACAACACTTATTATCACAAGGAATAGTATAAAAGATATCCTTTATTATAAAAGATGCAAATTCCCCACCAGTTGGTTGGGTTGATTGGAGCGTCATCCTGTACATCAAAAGGTTGCGGGTTTAGTCCCCAGTCCGTCTGCGTATGGGAGGCAGCCAATTAATGCTCCTCCCTCCACTGATGTTTCTTTCCCTTCCTGTCTCTCTAAAATCAATAAACATATCCTCGGTGAAGATGTAAAAACAACAACAAACCTGAAGCTCTGTGAACCTCAGTGCTTAGGGTTCTTAGAGAAGTTCTATTAGAGCAGTGGTTCTCAACTCCTAATGCCACGACCCTTTCATACAGTTCCTCATGTTGTGGTGACCCAATTTCATTGTTACAAATTGAACATAATTAAAGCATAGTGATTAATCACAAAAACCATATGTAATTATATATGTGTTTTCCGATGGTCTTAGGCCACCCCTGTGAAAGGGTCGGACCCCCAAAGGGGTCGCGACCCACAGGTTGAGAACTGCTGTATTAGAGGGACATGATGGATTAAATTATGAGGTCACGGCCCAGCTGGTGTGGCTTGATAGTTGAGCATCAACCTATGAACCAGGAGGTCACAGTTTGATTCCGGGTCAAAGGCACATGCCTGGGTTGCAGGCTCCAATCCCTAGTGTGGGGTGTGCAGGAGGCAGCCTGTTAGTGATTCTCATCATTGATGTTTCTATCTCTCTCCCTACCTCTCTGAAATCAATAAAAATATATATAAAAAAATTTGGGTCAGAATTTCGTATCAAGTCCTGTGGATAATGGCTTTAGCCTGATACAATGGGGGAACTCAAGTATAAATTATACCCCATTGCTGTTCCAAATGTAAGGCAAGGGAGCTGGTTTTTATATACCCATACCAGTCAGTCATCAGCAAAAGAACGCTACCGAGGAGGGAATTCTCGGCCACTCCCAGCTCTGGGTGTGGGGGCCGTGGCTCCAGTGGCCCTCAGGCAGTTAGTAAAGTGCTCAGCTGAGTCTGGAGGACTCATTTCCAAGACGGTTCACTCACATGGCTGGAAGACAGGTTGGTGCTGGCAGCCTGGGGTGGGGTGGGGCGCATTTGGCTTCTCTCCACGTGGGCCTATGCGTGGGGCTGGCAGCCTAGCATCCAGATTCCAGGAGTAGGTGTTCCAAGAGACAGGAAGTAGAAACGGCCAGTCTCTTAACACCTGGGCCTGAAACTGGCACTTCATTGGTGAAATCACAGAACCCACCCAGATTCAAAAGATGAAGAAACACAGACCCCGTGCCTCAAAAGGAGTGTCAAAGAATTTGTGTATCTTAATCAGGCACATTTTTCCTCTGGCCACAAACTGTTTACATTCATTCCTCTTATTATTTTTAATTTTTATTGATTTTAGAGAAGAAGGGAGATAGAAATATAGATTGAGATATAGAGATGAGAGAGAAATGTCGGTTTGTTGTTCCACTTATCTTTTTGTTGTTGTTGTTGTTAATCCTCACCCGAGGATATTTTTCCATTGATTTTTAGAGAGAATGGGAGGGGGAGAGACAGAGAGAGAGAAACATCAAAGTGAGAGAGACGCAGCGATTGGTTGCCTCCTGCATGCGCCCCAACCAGGGCCAGGATTGAGCCTGCAACGTGTCATTGACCAGAATCAAACCCGGGACTCTTTAGTCTGAGGGCCGATGCTCTATCCCCTGAGCCAAAAAGGCTGGGACCGTTGTTCCACCTATTTATGAACTCATTGGTTGATTATATGCCCTGACCAGGGATCAAATTTGCAACCTTGGGTTGAACATTATTAGTATGATGCTCTAACCAACTGAGCTACGTGGGCAGGGTTATATTGATTCCTTTTATATGCAAAATACAATTGCTTTCTCCCAAGCTCTCTGAATATTTCATCCTACTTTGAGCATCAGGCTCAAGATAGTACATAGGATAACCTTTGTTCACTCATTGCCTGGCTGACACGCTTGCTGGACTAGAATCATAGAAGGGCCTTTATCTGTCCTTTTTCACTCAAAACCAGTACTTGATCCACAAGAGGTACACGATGCATACTTCCTGAGTGTGTTACCTTATTTCTCATTTTCAACGGAATGAATCAACATTCAGGGTAAATTTCCAAAGTTTAGAGAGGAATAGTCAAATTAGGATGTAAGGCCAGTTTGACTTGAAACTCATTCTGAGAATGTATAACATGGTCTGTATCTCGGTGGGACTTAGAATCTGGTGGAGGAAGGTAAGAATAGGTATAATGAAGGAATGAGAGGACAAAGGGTAAGCTAAGGCATTGGCTGTAGGAAGGAACAGATGCACCTGACAGCTTGAAGAGGTCAAGGTGTAATGTCCAAGCGTGGTCAAGGATAGAGCCAAGAATGACTTTCAGCCTCTTAAATGCATTTTTATTGATTTCAGAGAGAAAGG